AATCAGTCTCAGCATCGCCATATCCGATACAATTAACCGATTCATATCCGTGTTTGGCATCCGATAAACTAAATTAATCGATTCAATTCAAATCATTTTCAATCCTACGCTTGAGTAAACTAATCTCACACTAATTTCCATTCATTTCGTTCACAATTAACAACAAATAAGATCATCACAAAACCTCACAAAACCTCATCAGCTAAAATTAGGGTCTTCCGAATCAAATCTCGGAACCAAACAGCTGAAATTATAAGTCTAAGAGTACCAGGGAGCGTAGAACTCGACGAGAGCGGCGCGATCTTGACCGACCTCCTTCTCGAAGTTGTCCTCCGTGAGCACAACGACGTCGTCTGCGAAGGCCGACGAGGCAAAGAGCAGGGCTAGGGCTCCGAAAGCGATCAGAGTCTTCGAGCTCGCCATCGTTTCAAACTTTCTGAAGAGAGTCGGTTGCTTTGAGGAAAGTCCAGCTGCTCCTCAGTTTTTATACCCGCCTTTGTTGAACTCGTATTTTGCATTTTTTTTTTTTTAAAAAAAAAAAAAAAAAATTATTTCTCGACGGTCAAAAATAATTTTAAGACGTAAATTGGAAGCTACTCCACGTAATTCTCAGTGTTTACGCGAGGCGCTCTGAGTACTGAACACTGCTTTTTTTAATCTGGCAAATCATGTCTCGCCATGCGTACAAATGTAATCATCAGTCCACTGAAACAAAGACACGTGTCAAATATTATTTTAGCAAAAGTTAAACGAATTCTTACATATGAAGAACCAAATAGTTTTCCTTCGTATGCTTATTAATTTTGAGTATTTTTTTAATTTTAAATTTCAGTTTTTTTGTTTGTAAGTAAGATTTTGTTAGATTAATCACTGACGAAGTTCGAACTTATGCATGTTTGTATGCTTATTAATTTTGAATATTTTTTTAAATTCTAAAATTCAGTTTTTTTTAATTATTATTATTTTTTATCAATAATGGATTTTGTTAGATTAGTCACTGATAAAATTCGAACACACGTCGTCATGCAAGACTCAAGACCTTTCCGCCATTGTAGTAAAAGACATTTATTTCAATTGACTTAACTAATCTTGCCATAAACCTTTCTTGGTTTTGATTGAGTTTTGCACAGGATGTTAGTGAAACGATTATTAAGAAACCAAACATTTCTAAATGTGACATGTATACGATGAAAATAATGCTAATTATTGTTGGATGATTATAAATAACATAGATGCATGTTTATATCTCTTTTGCAATTGCAAAAGTTTAGATAGCGACATGCTCCTATGAACACCACCAATTCTACAATGCTCACAAACCAATGCGGAGAACCACTTGCACATATAGGAAGTTGAAGGCCTTCGGGTTGGTTGTGGCATATAAAGTTATCCTTTTAGTTTATGACTCCGAAGACCTAGAGACCTAACTAGAAAATGTGAACTAATGAAACCTTTGTTTTTCTCTATATTTTCCTTTTCTGAGAGCCCTCCTTATTGGAAGAATGAATGATTTGCTTGTGAAAATTCCGAAAAAAATTATTAAATAATTTGCCGTTTGATTACAATTTCACTTTTAGTTTAAAAAAAACAAAAAATAAAAACTTCATGTCAAATTTTGAAAATTCACAAAAAATATATTTTATTTTTTTTAAATTAACGGTACCAAACAAGAATAGTTCAAAAAAAGCTTAAAAAACCTGAACAAGAAAAGCGTTCACAGAGAAAGAAACAGCGGCGGAAAAAATAGAAAGCAAAAGGAGAGGGGCGTTGCGAGAATCGAACTCACGACCTCTCGCACCCGAAGCGAGAATCATACCACTAGACCAAACGCCCAATTTGGCAATACTCTGGAAATTAACCAATTTTTTATTTAAAATCCATAAACTTTTGAATAGTATTCCTCACGCCTTTCTTCGCTTCTTCTTCCCCTTTTCTTTGAACGTTGAGGATTCGGACACTCTCTGGTTAGCCCCCTCTCCAATCTCCATCTCTCAGAGATTCCCGGAATTTCAATTGCATCCTTCAAGGACCGGACTGCAAATTAGCTCAAAGGTTGAATTCCGCAGCCATGGCCAGCAGTAATGTAAGTTCAATTTCCCAAAACCCTCACTTTCCGTCACTGAGAATTTATCAATTGGCCTAATTAGGTTAAGTTCTTGATTCCAAAAATACAAATTACATGATAAATATTTAATCTTTGTATGATTTAATTAATTCAGTAGTTGTTATTATTTTGGTATAGGCTGCCGGAGTGGATAATACTTTCAGAAGGAAATTCGATCGAGAAGAGTTCTTGGAGCGAGCTCGTGAGCGCGAAAGACAGGTTTGAACCTCGAAAAGTCTCGTTCTTGTTGTTGGTTTGTACATTTGTAATATGTTTTTTAGTTTTTTTCTAATCTGGGTGTTTTGCAATGTGCTTTAGGAGGAAGAGGGAGGACCGCATAAATCCAAATGTGGGTTTGTTTAATCTTGTATTTCGGTCTCTTTGCGTTATTCGAGTTGTTTTCTTTAGTATAAACTAAAAGTATGGTTTGCTATATCTGTGTAGCGAAAGGTCCGCCAGTGCAAAGGAAGCCATTGAAGCACAGGGATTATGAAGTGGATCTCGAGTCTCGCTTGGGGAAAACACAGGTGAGCTTTTTATTGTTTGGAGTGCATATGCATTTTTACCCGTTTGTTTGAAAGTTGAGATTTTTTTGAATTCGTGGAATACTATCAAGCCTATCATGATGCGACTACTTCTCAACCTATGAGTTAGTTTTTAAGAAGATTCCAATGCCATGTGTAATTGGATGCATTTGATCGTCATGGTTAATCAGCATCCTCGATGTATCTGTTTTAATTGAGCATAAAGTTTTGATGTAAAATCTTCACCGTAATGCAGTATGTTCAAAAAATTATATATATACTGTCATAGTTGGTTTGGTTTTCTGATTTCATGAAAATGTTGTGGTCCTTAGAAGATTATAGATTTGGATTAAGGAAGCTTGGTAGGAGATGGGGGGTTTGTTATTCCTATGTTGCTTTACTCTGAAGAAAATTATATTGAGACGTTTGCCTCTTTCAAATGGGAATATCTCACGTCCTGCCTGCTCAGTTGAGTTGCATTAGAACCATGAATATTTTGTTGGATCCTGATGTGTCTAAATAAGATCCTTTATTGGATATTTTGTTGCTTACATCTTTGTTAATTGCTAAGCAAGTTTTACAAGTTTCTTACCACTTTTTTTTCATTAACCTTGTTATTCCCTGTATGTTTTGCAGGTTGTTACTCCGATAGCACCCTTAAGCCAGCAGGTAAATACTTATCATTGAATATTCGTAACTGAATTTTATGATTTGCATTTTAGTAACAATATTACTTTATTTTAATTAAATAAAATATGGCCAGCCATCACATTGACTATGCCCATCAAAGGCTTTGCATTTCTTATCTCTCTCTTTCCCCTCCCCCCTCCCCCTTCTCTTCCCTCCTCTTTGAAGGATATTCCCTCAGTGGTTAGGCTGTGTAGCTTTCCTACTGAATCCTTATCTAGTGTAGTCTGAATTACCGCACTTGAAGCCAAGATTTGAGTGCAATAATTAACCCCTTGGTTACGGTCTACCACTCACCTTTCTAGCATTATGTTGATATAAATTTCATTTTGTGAAAAGAACGTTAGCATATATAGTACTTTCTCTATATGGTTATGGTATCTTGTACTTGATCTGATATGATTTGTCATTTTCTAGTCTTGTCTTCTCAATATTGTTTCCCCTGCTACAATATGATTAATTCTGTTCTTTTTCAGGCTGGATACTACTGTTCGGTTTGTGAGTGTGTTGTAAAAGATTCTGCAAACTACTTGGATCATATCAATGGCAAGAAACGTATGTAACTCTATCGATATTGTTATGACATGAGTTCATCTATAGATATGTTTCTATTGTCATTACAATTATTTTCTTTTGGTTTTGTTATTCTTTGAATGTTTCTTTTCTTTATAGATCAAAGAGCTTTGGGTATGTCTATGCGGGTAGAGCGGGCATCACTCCAACAGGTGGAATTTGAAAAATAACTTTTGTTTGTGATCAAATTGGAAATTCCTTGTTAAAATCGTGACCATATTTACGTTGAATTCATGCAGGTTCAGGAGCGATTTGAAAAGCTCAAGAAGCGGAAAACTGATGGAACTTTCACAGAGCAAGGTAAGATATTGAGTTGTAGTAAATGAATCCTTCAGAGACTTTGATCACTTATTTAAGGTGCATTGTGTTCTGATTACTGATAAAAAAGTTGATCACTCTTCCTTTTCCCTCTCAGATCTTGATGAGCGGATCCTGAAGCAGCAGCAAGAAGAGGAAGAGCGGAAGCGCCAGCGTCGGGAAAGGAAGAAAGAGAAGAAGGTTGGTAGAATTGATTCACTTAATATTAATGTTTGTAAGGCAGAGATTGGAATCTTCAAATTCGGACGTTTGTTATCTGCCTTGCTATAATATTTTGCAGCTGAATTTTTTAATTTTATTTATGTCAACTGATTCTTTTAAATCTTCTTTCCTGGGTTCAGAAAGAGAAGGCAGTCGAAGAGGAAACGGAAATTGATCCCGACGTTGCAGCTATGATGGGATTTGGTGGATTTGGTTCAACCAAGAAGTGATCATTTCATGCCAGTTCAACTTTCACAGCTTTTTTTTTGTTAATCTGAGTTGTTTCTTATGTATCTGATTGTGTTCTTTAGCGACCGTATCGTACGAATTTAGGCGTTCGTTTTTGTACAAAATGTAGGTTCGTGTACCTTCAAAATGTTGGTGGAATTTGAGAAAATGGAAGAGATTTTATGCATCCGGGTTTGATTCATCTTTGTTCTGGTATGGCATTCGAAGCTTGTCAATTTTGTTTTGTTTTAATTTTACAAAGAAATTGAGAATGATTGATGATATGAATATGGCATAGCCGAGGGACGTTTGAGGTTGGTAATTCTAAAACCCGAACCGAGGCAATCACCGGTCATCTTACAAAATATCGAAAGAAAAATAACTTGTTACAAACCACAACATACAAGATCTTTCGTCGTAGGAGTAATCTATGATTGTTCATGTAACACTAGATTGCAGTACGTTATGGCAGTCGAGTATAAATGGTGTATATGGTGCGGTTTTAAGTTTAGGAGATGTGCTGGTGTCGGTCGCGCGCGTGAAGTTTTGACGTTATCACATGGTCAGTGTAGGATGAAGAGACAGAACCCGGTAACAATTAAGAACGTGAAAAAACTGACGAACTTTGGTAGCTTCTGTGCACTGCTTGTTTCACCTTGGTACTGACCAAAGGGCCCAAAACCATTGAACCTCCCTGCACAGACAAAATTTTATTATCACGAGAGATTCTCGGTCTTGTCTCTCTTAATAACAATACGTGTTTAGAGAACCCCGCTACTACTCAGTATTTTAACTTTGATCCTCAAAAATCAACCATGTCAATAAACAGAATCAAAGTCGAAAAAAGTTGATCAGACCTGAGGTTTTCTCAAGACGTGTCATAAAGACAAGACGTCCTACACAGAGCCGGACTGCTACTCATAAGTTTTTGTGATTCTTTTCGCTTACCTATTTGATTTGTGTAGCTGCAGCCAGCACGAAGTGCACTTCTCAGCTCTGGCAGTGTTGCTCTATTGCCGAAAACGAAGTTTGAAAACATTCTATCGACGCAGTTCAGAACTTGTTGCGTCTCTTCAAAACATGGTCCACGGCAGAACGAATTAGTTGCTTCAGGAGGCACGTTAAATTCTCCACTCTCATTCAATCTGTATGCTTCATTACAACCAGCATAAATCTGATCACTCCAAATCAAAACAAAATCAATAAGAAACAAAATCGAGGACCTAATGATGTTCGTATAACATGAAATCACGTTATGAGCATGGTTTGCACTCACAAACTTGTTGCTGAAACATGCCAAGGCTGTCACAAACGTCTGCGCTGGGTTGTCCTCTGCGTATCCTGCAACATATTGAGACAATCGTATGAACACAATCAGCTAGGAAACAGAAAGAAAGCGCAAGAGGGCGTCATGAACGCGAAGTATTACCTGAGTAGGAGCAACAAGCTGCAATGAGAAGAAGAGTAAGGCAGAAGAACTTGTGTTTTGGGAGGATAATAGAAGCCATTGTAACTTTGTAAGAGATGATTTGTATATGAAATTGATATTAGTAGTAGTGACTGGGGTATTATATGGGTTTTTGATCTTTTTAACGAGGCATGAGAGAGAGAGAGAGAGAGAGAGAGAGGATCTTGCCTCACAATTGGTAAACCAAAAAGGAGAGAGATTGAGGTGGTGGTTTTAGATAGTTATAGCGAGAAAATGGATGAGGAAAATGGGACTTGTAGATGAGTGAATTTGGTAAGTAAGCCACCAACTTTGTACTTGTTCTTGAGTTTTATTTTATTTTTTTATTTTATTGAGTTTTTATCAATTTGAGTGCAAGAATTGAGTACTAAATTTGTCATTAGAAAACAAATGTTTAGATTAATATTCAAAGACCATTGGGATTGCATGATGTATTAAGTCCAAGTGCCACCCCCTAGAGATGTTTTAGACGGTTGATGTACAGTTTTTTTAATAAAAAAAAATGGATACAAATTATGCATACAAACGGCATCAATATAATGCACTGGCATTGGATTTGAGTAGTAGGAGGCCCAAAGTATCTAACACATGACTTTCAAGTGTCAGAGTGAATGCTTTTAAACGGATGGAGTTGCATCAGTGAAATTATTGTTTATCCTTTGCCATAACAGAACGAGTAGAATTGCTATGGCACCCTTAAGCTTATAATAGACATAAGTCATATCATTATGTGAAAACCTGCATGTATTAGAGAGTTTCGTCAAATATATTAGCTTAATGTACCTAAAAGTGTTATCCTTGTAACAAACACACCCACCATTAAGAATAGTGTAAAGGCTATATTAATTATTAGTAAAAAGCGAAAGTCTACTACTAGTTGGAGAGATTTTTTAGTGTGTCGGAATACGAACACATACGTCATATGTCATTATACAAGTGGACGGACAATTAAAGGGAAAACTTTCTTCCACTTGTATAGTCACATAGGACATACTGTCTTGTATTCCAAGCACATTGAAAAATCTTTATGCTAGCTGAAAGTATTAGTTAGCTACGCCAGGCGTTGCAAGTTTAATTTCACCCCCAAACAAATGATAAAACAAGAGCAGTTGCTAGCTAAAAGTTGAATGTTTTGGAGGAGGTAACTAGAAGTAGAAGAAAAAGGCATGTAATTAGATTTCGGACTTAATATATATACATTTGATTGGAAAATTAACCATATATCAAGTCCAATCTAAATACGAAAATCAACTATATCCTGTGATTTTTAACTTCAATATTTGATGCTGATATTCAAATTAAACCCTAAAAACTGTAACATTATTAATTAAACTCAAGAAAACTTAAAAAACATGGTCTAAACTTCTTGTTCCCGCCATCTTTCTTTTCAGATTAATCGCATAGCCTCTGAGGATTTTGATTTATTAACTTGATGTATTTAACTTTGACTGCTCGATCTTTTCATCCAAGATAACTTGCGTCATCTCTTCTGAGAAATTTGGGTTCCCATGCAAGAACCTTTCCCTGTTCTTGCCAGGAAACCACCTCCCTCTCCTCCAATCCAGATGAGGTCTCACGTGAGTAGCCGGATAAGCAACGTGATCCAACGGTGTTTCGAAGAACACAGCGTAGAAACTGCCCTTCTCCCCGGTGACAACCCCCGTCCACCACCCGTCATTGTCGTACGCATCCACCAAATCCCCGAAACCAAACTTTTCATTGTTTGCAGATGAGTCGTTCGGGCTCAACGGTAGGGTCTGGTTCGGGTGCGGAGGGCGGACGTCATGAGCCATGACGGTCTCTTTGTAGAGCGTGCGCTTGTCATCCTCCAATAGCTCCTTGTACTCGACAACGTAGTTGTCCCCCATGTTGGCTACAACCCTAGCTGCGAAGTACGATCCGATGAACCCCTCTTCCTTGCTTGACACTTCAACTTCGTTGTTGGTTTCAAACCTTCTTTCGGGGCTGAACTCATTTGGATCGTCGAGTTGCGAGCGAGAGGAGGAAGCAGGACGAGAGTCCGTTGCTTTTGTACGCCGTTGGATCGCACGGGAAGGCCCCATTGCAAATTATTTGCCAGTGAAGGAAAGGAAGTAGAAGAATGAGAGTTGGATTTGCTAGTTGCTACCAAAGAATGAGAGTTGACGAGTGCCTTGTTTGTATATATAGAGTCCTGTTCTGTTTAGAAAATTTTGGCTTTCCTATTCTGTTTAGGAATTGGAAGATTTTATACTTTTCATTTCTTAATTTTTCTAAATTATACGCTTTGATTGAAAGAAAAAGTTATTATATTTTACGGATTTAGCGCACTTATAGATAGACTTATAGATAAATCGGATTAGATTAGTCTAGATTCGAGCCGTTAAGTAAAATAATCTGACCAGATAATCTGATGGATATTTAATAAGAAAATCCATATATAATTTGATAAGTTAACGAGTATCTGATATGAAAACCCGATCTGATTTCTTATACATTTTTTTTTTTTATCAATCAAATTAGCTCAATTTCATATTTGATTTGTTAACAAATTCTCGAATTCAGATCATAAAAGGATTATCAAATTGAAATCACAAATCCATATTCTATTAATTAAATCAAATTCATATTGGAATTCGGGTCAAAAAATCTATTGACACATCTACCTACAAATCTAACCCAATCATACCGCTGTAAAGCCAGAACAAATTTTAGTGTCACGGTTCTAAATTTAAGTGGTCTTATCAATGCATATAATTTTTTTTATATGGGTGTGCATCATAATCGATATGTCAATAGGTACTACTAAAATTTATCATTTATGATCATATCATAACTTGAGAAATATCTTTGGAATTTGGCAAAGTCTAGGGTTTCTTTCTTTCAATACAAGCAACATAGGATAAGAGGGTTGAACACATGAGTTTAAGTGCAGAAGTAAGTACTTTTAACCGCTTATAATTTTTATCCATACAAGTGAAATAGGGTCGAACACACAAGTTTAAAAGCAGAAGTAAATGTTCTTAACCAATTACAGCTTACAACCATCTATAGCTTTCAAAATTCACTTGTCTTTCAGGTGAAGTACGGCAGACAAAGTATTAGGTTTTTTATTTTTATTTATTTTTATTTATGTTTAAATGGGTTCGAAACTATTACAATAATTAAGAGGAAGGGAGAGTTTCAAATCCAAGACGCATGAGTAGAAACCAACACCCTATCGACTAGGATGTCGGACCGCATTTATTTACAATTGCTATAATGTCTCTAAAGAATGTGAAGTTGTTCTTTCATTTCAAGAAGCAAGAAAACAAAAAGGTAAAAATATCACCAGCAATATAAAAAAAACTCTAATTCATCGGAAACAAGACGAGTGAGAAGCCTAGTCTTTACTGTGTAGCGCCCTCTACTTAATGTACTGAGAAAGCCACTTGAAGCCATCGCCATAACCCATTTTCCGAACAATACTGCACATGAAAACCTCGAGGGGACGGACATTTGAGTCTTGCAAGTTTACTTTACCCTTGCCTGTGGTGAAGTTGTTCAGACCGAGGTGGAAGCGCAACTCTTCTTCTGAGGCAGCGTATGGTATGTCGATCTTGTTTCCGAGAATAAGGAATGGAACAGTGGCCAGTGATTCATCGGAGAGGAGAGCATCCAGCTCTTTTTTTGATTCTGCAAACCTTTCCTTGTCGTAAGCATCCACCAGGTAAACCACGGCATCCACCTTTCACAACAAAGACGAAATGCATTACCAAGGACAAAACATAGAGATAACATTTCTTTTTCGGTCAAGGAAACATAGAGATAACATAGTATGAAGCAAGACAAAACCAGCATAACCAAGGATGAAACATAGTGATTACATTTCTTTTTCCCGTCAAGGAAACATAGAGATAACATAATATGCAGCAAGACAAAACCAGTATAACTTGAAATTACCCTCGTAGACTAATGAACAACACAACCATTCTTTCTTAGACAATCAACTAGACCCCAAAGATCGTTCTAGTGAACGATTCCAGATATTCTATCAAACCTATTTCACAGCTGTTACATTTCACCATGATAAACCCCAGCAATATGTATATGGTTTCCAAATAAATATACTACAATCTAAGGGGGTGCATAAACTTCTTTTAATTAATGACCTTCTTAGAGAATAACTCGTCTTGTAACATATCTAACTACATTATGCAGGTCCTACTGTGCACTTTTTCCTCCCGAATATGAGTGTTTCATAGGAGTTAAAAAACACGATAATTTCAAAACATAGCAATTGACAAGAAATGTTCATTCGCACTTCTAATAAGGGATCTGCAAGTAATCAACCCACTATTGATCTAGATAAAGAAATTGCAAAGCAAAAGATGGATGTGCAGTGAGGTACCATTAGCATACCTTTTACAGAGAAAAGGTGCTATCAGCGAACTACCATTATTTATATCTGCCTCCCATGAATCAGATAAAAACAGAAACTTTTATCTGGGATTATGGAGGCACAAACATCCAAGACAACTACGTGCACGTGGTACGAGAAGATCATACAACAACTATTTGGGTAGGTTAAGATCAACTTTGCTTCCAATTTGACAATTCGACTAGGGGGCAGTGAAATGTTTAATTCAGCAAGGTACTTGTGAAATACAAGAACAACGATTCACGTCGTCCAAACACAAACTAGATAACTTCCATTGTAACAAAAGCTAAAACAGTTCATATATGCAGAAAACCAGTTGCCATATCACATATCAATACATCCTCTTGAATTAAATCATCAATGATACCTTGGCATAGTAATCTTTCCAAACTCGGCGAGCAATCTGATGTCCACCCAAATCAAAAGCCTTGAACTTGATTTTACCAATGCTCAACTCCTCGGATGTCGGATACTGTGTCGGTTGGTGTTGAACTAACCTCTGTAACAATGCATCAACAACAAAACCCAGAATCAGAAAACTAAATTCTACGCTAATTAAGTAATTATCAAACCAAATCAAAATTAAAATCAAAACAATTACAAGAGCAAATTGCTTTATTCCTTTCTTCTTCTTCTTCCAGATATTAAAATTTGAGTGATTCAATAGCATCTTAAACTCAATACTTCAATATTGGATTGGGAGCAGAAAATCTAATTAAAAAAAACCCATACGAATTACACAAAAGAAAAGAAAAAAGATTTTCAATTGCATAATTAACAACTACACTCTCAAACTATTCCTTCAGTCCATATTTTCTTTATCTTCACTTTCCCATCAACCAAACAGACCCCGGATTGATTAAACACCAAACAAAAACGAAAATTTCAACATAAAAAAAATACCAATCATTCCAAAACACCATTGAAGCATTGAAAATCACAAACTTCACCGAGTTCGAAAGCACCCAAAACCCACCAACAAAATTTAGAAGAAAGTCCGATTAAAACGATGAGATTGAAAGAAAAACCTCATCTTTGAGCATATGAAGCAACGTTGTTTTGCCGGCATTGTCGAGACCCAAAAACAAGATCTTGGCCTCCTTCTGCCACAGTCCGAGCGATGCAAGAACCCCATAGAACCAATCCAACAAGAACATGGTGTTTCCACCCAGAAATCGTCAGATCGAAAGCCTGCCCCCAATATCAGAGAGATTGAGAAGTAGAAAAGAGTTATGTGGAACTGTTACTGGGTTAGGTCCATGGACGGCTGTGATGTGTCTCGGACGCAATTGGAAATTGTGGGCCGTTAGATTCTAAATTTCCAACTGCTGGGATATGATTTTTGTTTTATTTTCATTTTTGACGAAGTTGGTCGGTGGGGATTTATTTTTCCTTTTTATATTTATTTGTCTTTGTTTAATACATTTTGGAATAGAGTAAATTGTAATAATGGTTCCTCAATTTTAACTTAATTAGAGCAATGATCCCTTAATTAAAAATCCATTACCATTGGTCTTTCAACTTACCAAAATGTGCAACTATGATCATTTTTGTCAATTTCATTAGAACTTCCATCAAAATGAGCATGCATGTGAGGTTGAATCAAGAGGCAAATATGAAAAATCAAATAAGAAAAATTGTATTAATGATCCTTTTACTTTAATCCAATTGGAGCAATAGTCTTAACTTTAACATAATTGTAGCAATGGGCATTCTAATATAACTTATTTTGACAGAATTCTAATGGGAGTTGACAAAAATGACATCAGTTCATCGTACATCATACAACCAGTTTTTGTCAGATATTCTTTATATTCAATTTTTAAATAAAAAATTATAATGATTTTTGATCACACGATATATGATAAACAGATATGATTAGAAGATCCTTATAAAAGTATCCGACGAGAATCCTCAAAAAGATCCGACGAGGATCCTCCCGGCTCGCGCGTCCACCCCTCCTGCTCACACCGAAGAGATTGGTTGAACTACAAGGTGATACAGGCGTCCAATTCATTTCAAAGATACCTGAATAAGCAGTCATTCTGAAATTTGTCTTGCTTTTGGTACTAAGGTTTCATTGGTAGGTGGGGTAGAAATACGTAAAATATAGAAACAATTTTCTTTTTATGAAAACGTAATATATAATAGGAATTGTTATTAGCATTTTAAAAATCTTATTCTACACTTCAAATTTTCTATATTAAGAAAAAAAATACACTTATGAAAAGTGCAGAATGAAAATTTTAGAGTGCTAATAACACTTCCCTATATAATATAGAAACATGTATAGCTATCAAAGCGTCAAATTAATATAGAAACAGTGAGATATAAAAAATCTTCCAAATCCTGATCTGAATAAGAAAGCCAAAATCCTAAACCGAATAGGAACAGGAAAGCCCAAATATTCCAGACTATATATTGCCATTTGGACACCAATAGCTCTCTCATTCTTCTACTTGCCTTATCTCGCTCACAATCACCAACTCTCATTCTTCTGCTTCATTCTTCTCCAATGGAGGCATTCCGTATGGAAAGGTTTTTCGAAAGAGACAACGAGATCGAAGTGACCGGCAAGGAAAAGGGGTTTCTCGGATCTTACTACGCAGCCAGGGTCATCGCCAACATGGGAGACAATTACGTGGTGGAGTACAAGGAGCTGCTGGAGGACGACGAGCGCACGCACTGTAAAGAAACCGTGATGGCTCATGACGTCCGCCCTCCGCACCCGAACCAAACCCTACCTTCAGGCCCAAGGGACTACTCGTCTGCAAAGAAAAAGTTTGGTTTCGGCGAACAAGTGGATGCGTACGACAACGACGGCTGGTGGGTGGGGATCGTCACCGGGAAGAAAGGCGGTTTCTGCACCGTGTTTTTCGAAACAACATGGGATCACATTGCGTATCCGGTTACTCACTTGAGGCCTCATCTGGAGTGGAGGAACGGAAGGTGGTTTCCTGGAAAAAACCGAGGTCGATTCGTGGCGGAGAACTCGTATTTTTCACATGAATTGGTGGAGTGTATCTTGGACGAAAAGATTGAGCAGGAAAAGGTGAAGAAATCGGAAGTTCAACGAGATCATGAGCATCATCGCATGCAGTCCGGCTGGGAACTAAAGATCGTGCAGTCAAGAACTGTTTGGGCTTGAATTCGCATCGTCATCGACGATTTGAAGTAATCAAAAGTGGAATAAGACAATGAAAATCATCGATTAATTTCAAGTTTAATACCTTTATCTTAATTTCTTGAATGTATATATGCCACGTTTTAAATTCCATTAGTTCTGTTGTTTTGATCAAGAGGAAACTATTTCAACATATTTATTTTGCTATGGACTTGGAAAGTTCTTGACCTTTAATTTCCTTGTGTGCAATATTCTGCAAATTAATCATCTCATATTATTGAAGACACAGATTAGGCTTCTAAGATTAATTCACGATTGCGTAATACTTAACTAAGAAAGCTGCAGGATGGTTTTGCATCGAAGTTTAACCTTTAATTAGTGGTAAGTAAGGGCTCAGAAAACTCATCCAAACTCAAGAATCTAGGTACTTAAACCTCAAAGAAACAAGAAAACGCCCCTGTAAACCAGTAAGTACTTTTCAATTTAGCAATTGTAATTTTCTTTTTCTTATTAATTAAAATGTTTGAAATGGTAAAAGCCTTCGATGTTAGCTCAAGTGATTAGGAAGGTTTGATTCTATGAGTTATGTTTCAAGATATGTCAGAGTTCGATTCCCTCACCAATGTAATAAATTTTTTATTAGTATGTTATTTTTTTGTTAAATATATTGCAGGGTTGAATTTGTATATATGTAGCTAGTAACTTAGTAAAATATAGAAACATCCATTATTCTTCCACTGAATTATGAGGTTGATCATAGATATAGAAACATTAAGATACAAAGGAGTTGGGAAAAGACTCGGGCGAACTATCTAATGTTCTAAAGTCTTGGAATTCACCGGTGTTTCGGAATATACTTCATAAGAAAAAGAACTCTCACTCCACTTCCTCTTTCCACTCGCAACCATCTCCAACGGGGTCGAACTCTCGTTCTACTCCCGTTTTTCACTCGCAATCACCTCATTTGCCACACCGTACAACTAGGGTTTTCAAAAGAGACGACGAAATGAAGTGCGCAGCAAGGAGCAGGGCTTTCTCGCATCCTACCACGAAGCAACCGTGGTGTCAAACATGGGGGACAACTACGTGGTCGAATACAAGGAACTCTTAGAAGACGATGAGTTCACACCTCTCAACGAAACCGTTATGGTCAGCGAAGTCCGACCTCGACCCCCTTCCACTCCTCAAACGGTGGCGAAGCAGAAGTTCACTTCGGCGAAGTTGTCGACGCGTATGACAACGGCTGGTGGGTGGGAATCGTCACCAGGAAGAGAGGGTGTTACTGCACCTTCTTTTCCGAGAGCACTTGGGATCACATGTTGCTTATCCAGTCGCTCGCTTGATGAAACAAAATCCGTATTTTTCACATGAATTGACGCAAGTTATCTTGGATGAAAAGATTGTTCAGTCAAAAGCACAACAAGGTAAACAAAATAGTCCGAAGCAACGTGGCAGATTGGAAGAAAATATCACGCAGTCAAAAGTTGTTTGTGCTTGAAAATCATCGACCATATTTTTAATTTTCTCGAGTGTTTCTTTAATTAATTTTATTTTATTTAAGAAAGTATATTAAAGTAAGATGGCATTAATTTTGTTGTTTTGTGAATAGACATAATTAATTTAATTGATAGCTCAGGAATATTGATGTGTTGAGAGGTTCCTTGATTCCATATCATCCATCTTTAGGGAGGCACCTTGCACTGCAAATTATGCTTGTTCAATAAAATAAAATATTTTTGTCATAATTTTAATTAAAATTCCTTTCTTGTTGTAGACATGGAATGTTCTTCACCATTAATTTGGTGTTTGTCTACAATTCCAATATTTAATCGTTCATGTTATTCACGACAAAGATTTTAGATTTAGGCTTCTATCATGTAGTAATTCAATCATGAGCAAAATATCTTATTAATTTCAAAAACCTAGTTACACTTTATGTTTCAAACAACGTTAAACTTAGTGGTTAAAAATATATATCTATGATAAAATCAATAAGCTACTCAAAACACTACACCGCTACCGTTAAAAGCCTAAAACACAAGAAATGTACTATAAAGACACTATACAAAAAACTTCTAAAATAACACCATTCAAACAATCATTTGAAAGTTATTTCCAATATTATCGTGTCTAATCATTTTTTTATAATGCATCTGTAACAAATTTAGTATAAGTTGAAGAGAAATTTTTTAGTACAAATTATCGACAACTTCTCCCAATAAGTATCCAACTTATGTAAAATATCCACATTACGAGAACCTGATGCATACAGCTGTCGCACCCAAGAATTTATTAAAATTAATTAGGACATAAGTACTTGCACCTCATCTTAAGCTTTATTATTCTATGATGTTGGTAACTCTTTTCATAAATAAAAAAAACAAATTTTCCAATCAAGCTCAGAATCTTTCATCATGTTTGCCCTTTCTTTTGTTTTTATATAAAAATGTGGACCAAAATATATCCTTTATGTCCGGTTAAACGAGATATTATATTTTATGGAAAATATATAAACAGCTGAAATCTTATCCAAACTCCAGAATCCAGATAATTTTCAAACCAAGACAAAAATATCAGGCCCACCGTCATAGAAAACCACTCTTCCACAAAAGCCCAAACCCACAACCCGCCAACAGAAATTATCCCACCCATCTTTTTACTATATATACCCACTCCACCACCTTTGCTTGTTCCATCAACGGAGCTCTGCCTCTATCTCCAGAAACCACTTGAAAAAATCTCAAACTGTTTTCGAATTTCGACCGTCCGATCGTTAAAGATGACTGACGTGGCAGAAAGCGAGCGGAGGATCCTCGTGGCCGTCGACGAAGGCGAGGAGAGCATGCATGCGCTGTCGTGGTGCCTGAAGAACGTTGCAGGGCAAAATTCCAAAGATACCCTTGTTCTTCTCTACGCGAAGCCCCCGCGAGCTGTGTTTACGGCTCTAGACGGCACAGGTAGGAGAGAGGCCCCTTCAGGTATTTTGTTGTGATTATTGAGGTTATTTTGGGAATAGGATATGATTCAGTGGCTTTTTTGTGTAATTTTGTTTGGAATTCAGGGTATTTGTTTTCGTCTGATATTTTGGCGGCAATGGAGAAGTACGGCGCTGATGTGGCGGACTGCGTTATGGACAAGGGCAAGAAGATGTGCAAGGACCTCCAGCCGGATGTAAGCGTCAGAATTTTGATATTGTGAGGGTAAAGTTGTCATTTTGCTTTTAGGTTTTGATCAGACGGTCGATTGTTGCCCTTTTCAGCTTAAGGTGGAGACGAAAGTAGAGAGCGGAGATCCGAGGGATGTCATTTGCCAGATGGTGGAGCGGCTTCGTGCTGACGTGTTGGTTATGGGAAGCCATGGCTATGGCGTCATCAAGAGGTGGGTCCCAACATCCATGATATAGTTTGGTTTTTTAATAATCTTAAAAATTTTACCTTTTTTCGTGCCATATAGCGATAGTTTTCAGTAAACTGATCGAACTATTTCGTAGTATTTTGATTTTCTTCTTTGCCAGTAAATGGGCCTAGCAATTTTTTACAGAACCGGTTAACTCAACACAAAAATAACAAGCTTTCGGTTGATCCTTGATGATTCGGATCGTGATTGAATCATCTGTTAAAAAACGCGTTAACGCGTTGCGTAATTAACGGTATCTCTTAAGAACTCGATAAAATATAGTCAGTAATTATTTACATAGCCCATTATTCCGACACAATAGAAATTACCTATTAACGAATTAAATCATTATTCTGTCTTATTAAGAACTTATTAAGATATGAGTCTACACGATTTTACTCTTTAAGATAACAAGTAGGGCATAAAAAAAATACGACACAACCTGTTTGTTAAGGCTATTTGTAAATAAAAAAAATTAAATTCAAAGAAAAAATTAATTCAACCTATATTATTATCTATATATATATATAAAGTGAGCATCCTAAAATGGTAAAATATTCAAAATACCATAAATTACCCCTTAAGAATTTCATAAATTACAATTGAACCAAAAGAAGCTAAAGTATTTAATCATATTTTTATTTTAAATGAATTTAATATTTAAAATTATAGAAAAAACAAAAGCAAAACCTTCCACCAACGTGGGAGGTTTCACGTCTTTAATTCAATTTTTTTTAAATAATTTTTAAAAAATTATGTAAATTAAGTATTTAAATAAAAAAATATACAAAAAGGTAAATTGCCACGCCTATGCGTGTGGTGAGAGGTTAGTAACAATTTAAATTATAAGAAAATCATTTGTCTATATTATAGAAACAGATATTATGGAATTTATTTAATAAATAAAAATGTCGGGTTTTTGCAGGGCTTTTCTTGGGAGTGTGAGCAATCACTGTGCACAGAATGTCAAGTGTCCTGTCTTGATCGTGAAGAAGCCAAAAACAAATGCTGGGAGCAAATGACTTTGTTAATTAAACCTCTTTTTTATTACTTTTTACCACTTTATGTTCTTCCTTTTACCCTTTCTACTTCAAAAATGTCTTGTATTTTTACTTTGGAATTTTTGGTATGTAAATAATGTCATGCTGTTAGTATTTATTTATTAACTGAGCTAAGCAGTGAACTTTCTGTTAAATTTTTTTTTATTATTAATTAAAAAAAAAAAAACTAGTTGGTGGCTTCGTCATAACGATTTATCTTTTCGAGGTCTGAGAAACTTACAAAGGCATTTCAGTCTTTATCTAGTTACCATAGTACGATTTACTAGCTTCAGAAATCGAATCCAGAACATACCATATGAAATAGAGGCATAGAATTCGTCGTCAACCATTATTGAATTTTTTGTTGAATATTTAGATAATCCAAAACAATTGCACTTAAAGCTTTTAACACAATTAACAGGTTCCAAATTGAATTTCTGAAGGAATTGTTTTCACTAACTTCCATGACACCAAGATTAACCAAACAGAGACATTACGTGGCTGGCTTTGTCATATGGTTTTGTTAGTTGGCACCAACTCTGTAGAGAGGTCATATTTTAAGGATGGTGCTATTTCTTTGATTGGCCATACTGTTGGCAATACTTGTATTTCGGATAATGTGCTTTCTACTAGAGGAAAACAAGCTTTTGTATTTAACTGTATAAGCCTTTGTTGCGTTGAGGCTTCTCTTTGAATAAAAGTTTATGTATTAGCTAAAAAAAATAGAATACATAAATAAATTGACTTAAATATTGCTCTATCTTATGAACGGAGGAAAATTAAAAGTTACTAAAGCAGCTTTGGGCTAAATTGTAGCAATAGTTCTTGAATTTTACTCTAATTTAATTTTAGTTGCTCAACTCTCATATTAATTTATTTAGTCGGACTAATTTAACAATGTGTTGCACAATTGGTCCTTTTTATTAATACCCTTTTTTCCGTTAAATTAGAGGGTAAATTACGAACTTCAATTTAAACCTTAAAAAAAAAAAACAATAGAATGAGCTAAAAGAAACTAACAAATGCAAATGGAAATATATAAATTAATATCTAAAACTTAAAACAAAATGAAGGTTGGACCTTAGCAACTTGTAAATATTTGGCAATGCGATTTCAAAGTTGATAGGAGATTGAACTGTGGCTGGAGTTGAACAACTAACAAATAGCATATTGAACGATGAAATTTTTTTTCTTATGTATTCAATTTTCTTACACGAAATAAATCTGATTTTTTTAGTTTTTTTTTTCTTTCTCATTTCTCATTTTAAAATTCATCCTTAGTAATATGGGATGAAGTTGCTAATATATCCTAAAATTTAACAGCAAAATAGGCGACATTAGTAAAAATGACCAATGGTACAACACATTGTTAAGTTGGATGACTAAAGAAACTAATATGAGAGTTCAACAAGTAAAATTAAACTAAGGGTAAAGTTTAAGAACATTGTTGCCGGAACATTATAAATGATGTGAAACTTTCTACTCCTTTTTTTTTTGCCCTAAATTTAATTGGGTGTACCCGTGGCTTAGACCAATTTTTAGGTTATTATGTACACCGCTTTTTGTGACATCCCGTCCCGAAAATATCGGAAACGTGCTTAGGAAATGACCCTTTTACCCCTAGTTGGTTTTCGTATTATTGTTTTTGGTTACTTTGTGTGGTGTTGGCAAGCTGAGAGCCACACACACACACTGTCTCTCTCTCTCTCTCTCTCTCTGTGGGTTCCCCGAGCTCCATTCCTTCCTCTTCTCTCTGTAACGTACGGACAACACACAAAAGCACCCAAATCTTAGTAGATCGTGGAAACCAAAGACACCATTCAACTCGTGAGGTCGAGGCGAGCACAACCATACCATTTTCAGGTGAGGAATACTTCGTTTTCACGTCGTTTCAACAATGGCCGAATTGAGTACTGTTCATGCAAAATTTATACTTTGAGTTTTTGGACTTTTGAAGCTTGTAGATGTGTTGGTGAGGTTCCCAGGAGCGTCGGAGTAGCTCGTTGGACGAATTTGGACGTCGGGAAGGCCTGGTTCGAAGTTGGCCGGTTTTTGAGTTTTGAGACAGGTATGATCGCGTAACTTTTAGCCTTTAAAAGTGGTCCAACGTGATTCTACTAGTTTAGGGCTTTCTTTTGGTCCAAGAATCATAGGAATTGGTTGAGAAACGAGGGAGATTAGTGAGTTTAAACTTTTCCCAGTTTTCCGGCGACCGGAGTCCGGCGAGAGTCGATCGGAGAAGAAAGAGGAATATTCCGTTAGGTTTAACGGAATATTCCTAACGGCAGTGACGGCATCCGGTTAGATTTAACGGAATATTCCGTCAATTTGACGGAATATTCCTGACGGCGTCTGTTGACACCGTCAGTGTGCCTGGCACGTGGCCGCGCGTGGGGGGGCGCGTAGGTCTGTGCCTGTGCTGGCGCGTGGGGGCGCGTGTGGGGTCCAAAATTTTTTCTAAAAATATGGTTGTGATCCTGAGGTTGTGTAGAGCACGTGGGTATATTCATTTGTCCATTTTGAGCAATGTATGAGAAGTTATTACGAGAAACGGGTTATGTGCTTTAAAGTTAACGTTTTTATAGTTGTTTCGCATTTAGGTGACACGTACCCAGAGGACGAGCGTGCACACGCGAGACAGGGGGGCTACGACCCTTCTACATACCAGTGAGTGGGCTTTTGTTTTCCGTATATACCTATATACATATTAATTCCCAGAAATTAGTATAAATGCTTCGTTATATGCCATTTCTTTTATATAATTGGTGGTTATGCATGAGTAGTGGCATATACGTTTAATTACATATTCAAATATTGCATATGTCATATATATTTATATGTTGGTGCTGTGGAGGCATAGGTAAGTGCCAGGTAAGCGTTATTTAACGATTGCATTAAATAGTGGTTAGAGATGCTTAGAGAGCTCATAACCTGCACCCCCGGTGTTAGTGCTCCCGCCCAGAGTAGGGCACAGTCCTTCACGTGATGTTCACCTCCCGCACCACACGCTCAGCTTGGATCCAAGTTAGGTGCATAGGCCTGTCGTACAGACCACATTAGGTGGTTCCGACTCGTAGGTGACCCGCGATTATTCGCACAGCCTTCACGTGATCGTAGCACTAGAGCGTATGGATATGTTACACCCAGGCCTGTCGTACAGACCACTTAGGGTGGTTCCGACTCGTGGGCAGGTTTAGATATTAAGATTGAGATTTGAGCTCTAGATGCAGCCGTACAGGTCACGTTAGGTGACTCCGGCTGCCAGATGTTATGATGTTGATATGATTTATACCTGGGCACTTACATTCATATTGAGGCTTTGGCATGGCATATCTTGAGCATGATTGGCATACCCTTGAGCATGTTGTGCATGTTTATACATACGTACATATGTTTATTTTCTGGGAAGTATACAGGTTTTACGGCGAGGGGTTAGATTGTATTTTGCTAAATGGTTTTCAAAGAGCTTTGTTTTTGCCCACTCACGCTTTTGTTTTGCGCCCCTCCAGGTTCTAGTTGCTTAGCCGTTGCGGTGGTTTCCTTTGAGGGCTCTCCGGCGTTCTGACAGACACTCCATATTGTAGGGTCGCCTTCGGGCGTACTACTGTTGTCGTTTTATTTGGACTGCTATAGACCTGCTCTGAATTTGTATCGCACTTACTAGCACTTATATTAGCACCTTGTATGCTAGTTTTGAATTATTCGTACTTTTATATTACTACTTTATTAGCTTCCGCACGTGCACATGGCTACGTCACCTTCGTGTGACGGCCAGCACGCTCCGATCTCGGTCGGGGTGTGTCACTTTTTGCATAGGTGAGTTAAACAAGCTGTTCAGGATATTTTGTGTTCGTCGTCTTTCCACACTTGTGAGTTAGATCAGTTTTTAAGATAATGCACCTGCAACCTTTTTATACACGTGATATAAGATTAGTTTTTTAAGATAAGGCAGCAGAATAGCGCCTGTCGCCTTTTTGTACACATGATCAAAAACTAGTTTTCCAAAATATTATGCCAGCCGCTTTTTTGCGCACATGAGCTATATCAGTTTTTTGAATATTAATTGTGTGCGCCGTCTTTTTCCTCCAAGTTCGATGTTTTTGCACCTATTATATAAGTTTTTAGAATATTAATTATGCGCACCACCTTTTCACCGAAGTTTGATGTTTCTTCTCGTAAATTACAGTAATTTGGAACATCGTATAGTTACCAGAAAACCAGAATAGGAAAGAGCTAGAATCCGTTCATGAGCAAAATAGGAAAAATCAAAATCCAAACCTGAGCACAACTGGAAACCAACCCTGACCTATACTGTAAATTACTACTCAAGCTTAACACAATATGCTAAATTTAATTGAGTTACTAAAAACCACATTTTATAAAAGGAAAACTCTCCAAAACTAACTTAATAGGAAATTTTAACATAAGAAGAAAGCCACTCTAACTCCTACCATATATATTTTTTGTTACACTCTCACATAAATTCTTCCACTCATGACTCGAATTATATATAAATGCACAATTTGTGAAACAAAATTCTCATCCATTTCTACTTGCTTCACTTCCATTACTAACCTTTCCAATGGATTTTACCCCAACACAAGAGGGTTTCCGAAAAGGTGATCGAGTGGAAGTGAGCAGCAGAGATTATGGGTTTATTGGCGCGTATTACGAAGCAACTGTAGTTGAAGACTTGGGGGGCAAGTATAAGGTGGAGTACTTGAGTTTGGTGGATGAGAAGGACGAGTCCCGACAACTCCAAGGGGATGTTGACGCGGATGAGCTCCGCCCTCTGCCACCTCCACCTTCAGAGCAAGAGAAAAATGAAAAGTTTGATGTCCTTGATAGGGTTGATGTGCATGACCAGGACGCTTGGTGGGTAGGCACCATAACTGAGGTTAAAACGGAGGGAGAGAAGGAGATTTACTCCGTTTACTTTGAAACTTTGGCGGACCTCTGTGATTACTCTAAGGAACAATTGAGGTTTCATAAGGACTGGATCGACGGAGCGTGGGTTGATTGCAACGACAAGAAACAAAAGCAGGTGGGTTGCAAGAAGAGAGTGTGGATTGATGACAATGTTGAAGACAGGTACAAGAAAGTGCGCATCGATGGAAAGTTGGTGGATTGCAAGGATAAGTTAAGAGTGAGCCCTGTGATTCCAACGGGAAAGCCTTGAGTACCAGTTGTTAATTTACTAATTTTCTATGTTTTTTGTTTGAGATAATTGTGTTCTAGGGTTTTAATTAGAAAATGTGTTGTTTGTTAGGATCTTCTTTCTTATTTATCTCCTGGTGTTTGATTGGGACAATTTGTGCTGTGTGAGTCCTGTGACTGGTTGTTACTTAAGTGCATTTATGAATTATGATTGTTTTCAGTATTTTTAAATTCATGTTTATTTATTTTTCAGTTTAATTTTTTTTTATTCTTCGGTTTGAAAGAGTATCCCTAATCAAAAGAATCCTGATTAAAGATCTAGTGTCCTTGTTAGTCAGTAAGAACATTTCTACTGTGGAAGGGCTTACTTAACCTAGCCTAATTTTGGCTTCTGTGCTCCACATGCACATCACTTGAGCTAACACAAAATATTGAAATAGGCCATAGCCGTAGCCATATTGGCTAGAACTAATATCCTCCTTTTATGCACATCAGTTTGAAACTTTGAATCTTCATTCTCACATCTAAATCAATTATTTAAAGTAAGAATATAGCTTATGTCCAGTATTATTCCATTGGTAATTGATAGGGTTTTGTTAAGCTTCAAATTCGAAGATTCTGAAAATTTGATTTAGAGCATATGAATCAAAGATTAGGGAATCAACAGAGCCATTTCGGAATTTACCTAATGAATGTATGAATGAAACTAACATTGTTTATACCAGGGAATTCAATCGTTACCTGATAATCATTTAGCTAAATAATTAGCATTTTACCTCTCGGAATCTTATTTTCTGGTGAATAAAACATTCCAACCGAGAGAAATTATTTCATGCTACGTAGCATTAACGGCTACGAACATTGGATGACTTGGATTGGTTTTGATTTTTGTTTTTATTGTGATCCCGTGAATCTAAGTCATCCAATGCTCATAGCATTTATGCTACGTCGCACCAAAGTGAAACCTACAATATTAAGCTAAATTATGTAAGTACTAAAATTGAGCCGAATTGTGGCGCCAGACTAATGCACTGGGGGGCTAAATTAACTGAGCGCATTGGACTACCTTTTTAAGATTCTTTTTCAGCTGCATTTTTGCATCTAAGCTCAAGTTATGTTTCCGTAAATTAGAGTAATTTAGAATAATATTTTATAAAAAAAAAAAAAAAAAAGGTCAAATCTAATCCCAAACACAACAGGAAATTTAGCAAATGTATTGGGCCAAATTAAATTGAGTTACTAAAAAACCGAATTTTCTAAAAGAAATAGGAAAGCTCTCCAAATCCCAAACAGAGTACGAAAATCTCTCCAATTCTAAACACAAGATGAAAACCTAACCCAACCTCCTATATATATAGCCTTACATATGCTCTCATAAACAGTCCTACACTCCACATCCCTACGATTTCTGAAACAATTTCTCACTCATTGATCATTCTACTTAATTGCCTCACTAGTTGCGTTATTGATATATAATCTCTCTTTCTCTCTCTCTCTCTCTCTCTCTCTCTCTCTAATCGGTTTTCAAGAAGGTTCTAGCATGGTGAAAAAGGCTAGTTTTCCTACAAAAAAAGTTTTTCAAAAAGGTGACAAGGTGGAAGTGTGCAGCAAAGAATATGGATTTATCGGCTCTTATTATGCAGCAATCGTACTTGAAAAGTTGGGGGACAAGTACAAGGTGGTGTACAAGAACCTGGTGGAGGAGGACGAGTCCAAACCTCTAGTAGAGATTGTCACGGCGGATGAGGTCCGTCCTCGCCCTTCTCTACCTCCCCAAGAAATAGTGGATTTAGAGTTTGATGTCCTTGATAGAGTTGATGTATTTGACAACAAGGGTTGGTGGGTAGGCACCATTACTGAGAAGAGAGGGGAGGACGAATACTTCGTCTACTTTGAAACGACTGCGGATCATATTGCTTACCCTAAGAGGAAACTGAGGTTTCATAGGGACTGGATCGATGGACAGTGGCTGGTCTACAACAAGAAGAAGAGAGTTGTTTGCGTAGACGGAAAGTTGGTGGATTGCAAGAAGAGAGTCCGCGCGCAGGTTGATGAAAGAGATGTTGACTGCTACAAGAGAATGCGCATCGATGGAAACTTGGTGGATTGCAAGGACAAGTTAAGAGTCAGCATTGTACCCGTATAAACCTTGAGTGGTGCTAGTTGTTTGTTGAGTTTTAGTTTCTGTTTCTTGATTTTTAATTAGAAAGTATGTTTTTGTTCCAGTTTTCCACTCTGATTAATTTCTTGGTGTATGGTGGAAACAATTTGGGAATATTGCTATTTAAGTGCAATTTATGAGGGTTTTCAGTAATTTCCTTTCATTTTGATTTATTATTATTATTATTATTGTAGGTGATGGTAACACCGTGTGTTAGGAACTTTTGTATGAGTTTATTCAAGCAAAAGTTGACAGAAAATTATTATGCGTGACGGTAACATCACGTGTTGTTATGAGGAATTCCGACAGAGCATCATTTATACAAGTCTCATCAACCTCCTAGATTCTTGCGCTGTTATGTAGTAATTTACCTAACACATACATGATCATTCTGCTGATATTGATAATTGGAATTTTATAAATTATATAAATTGACCATATTGCTTGTATTAAAAGGAAATAAACATAGCTATAAAATTACAGAGTTTTGTTAATCTTCAAAATTAACGATTCTGAGCAATTGATTATATAATCCATATGGAATTCAAATGTGGCATGTTAGCTGCATTCTCTTCATCTGTCAGCTCCCCATAGAGGAGGCTCAAATGTGACATGCTAATTGCAATCCATGCGATAATCATTAGTTATAAATGAAAAAGCTCATCTGCAAAATCGCGCCTTTGCTCAATTTGCAAACAATGTAGCAGCATTGTCAATTCTAAATCAATTTGCAAAAATTGCATTCTATGACATGGGTAATCTACAAAACCCTATGGAATATATCTTAAACATCAACTTCAGATTCTCGCTCTCTTAGTCACCTAGTGACTAAATATTTATGATCACTCGCTCTTAGATTTGATATCAAGTGAATGACTATGCTTAGCTAAACCCTTGCATTTTACTTGGCTAAACTAGTTACTAAAATTTTTGTTGAAGAATGAACATCTTCTTCTTTATTTTTATTTTCTTCCAAATATATATCCGGATTGTTTCTGTTTTGAAAAAAAAAAAACGTAAATTAAAAATAAAAATTAGAAGATAAATAGAACTATACTTTTTCCACGTTAGGCTCCTACATTTTCTCATATCTTTCAACTAATCATATCTCAAAAGTCAAAAGCACTGCAGTCTGCAGCCATTTCCACAAGTGAGTATTGTTTCAGTGACAGTAGAGATTACTGAGATCGATCGCCAAGTGCCGAGTCTTTCAAGTAGTAAGATCACCATTTTTTTCCATCTCTCTTTAGCCTTTACTTACTGTATTTTCTTCATAACTTTATTCTCGTGGAAAAGCAGATATCAAATCCAAGGTTTCCGCCACGATGAAACCGCGCCTGATGAAGTCTTGCTCAAGTGTTCTATGGCGGCCCATTTGTTTTCTCATCGTTCTGGTACTTATTGTTCAACACATTTTTATCTCTGGAAAAATAAAACTTCACCCCATCCAGCAATTTATTTCTTAATTACCCTAGTTTGATCTCCGTATTTACCAACGACGAAACTCTTGTGGCAGGGCCTTTCGTGCTACATGATCTCAATGTTGTTTAAGATGACGAAAAGAATCGAACATCGTATACTGTTCGAATCACATGAAGCACTCAACAGATTCTTTTCGAGCATCGACTCCACCTCAAAGTTGCTTACTCCATTGAATCCATCAGCAGTTAACCTGGCAAGATCTCTAACTTCGTCACTTAATGGAACCGAGCTCAATTTCACTACCATCCAAACAACGGTTAGTATACAAAGCATTTCTCATAATTTTCCATGTTCAATTTAAATAAGAACAGTAAATCATTTAAAAGAAAACTAAGGAAAATGGGCTGAAAATTTTGAGTTTTAACATAAGGACAAAATAAAGGGTAAAGTGAATAGTATCATGATTGATTTTTTAGTGTAAAAATGTGGTTTTTCGTTAAAGTGAACAGTACCAGAAGTTTTTCGTTAAAGTTCCCATCATTTAATCCATGTTGACATATCTGAATGATTTCATGTTTTGTCTCTAGGTTGCGCCAACGTTGTTTCTAGCTCTTTCGACGATTCCACATATCTCACAGGTCTCTTACATCGGATTGGATGGCCTTTTATTCTCACTTAACAACTACGCGGATCAAACTTATGCAGTCTTCTCCAATGCTTCATTTTCTTCAAATTGGTACACTCAACCCATAAATAGAGACACGGGGAAATTATATGGCGCCGCAGTTGCTTCAGATTCTAAGGTGATAGTAAATGCAAGTTGGTTCCAAGCCGCCTTAAACAGCACAAGCGGTTATTCTTGGCTTGGAAGGGGATGGGACAAAGCTCAAGGTAGCTTATTCATGAGTACTGTGGTTATGGATGGCAAAGGTGTGATTTCCCTTGGTATCCCAGCAAAATTTGTAGTTGATCATTTCGCGGCTTTAGACTTCCATGGGGGTTATTTTCACTTGGCTACTGCAGATGGGCATGTAATTGTACAATCAAAACTTCCGAAAACCCAATTTCAGATAAGCAACAACACGGTTTCGGTGCAAACGATGAGGCCAAATGGTAATATTACAAGTAATCTTGGTCACTTCCCATGTAATACTCCCGATGATGACGATGACGACAACGACAATGATGGCGGCAACGGTGACAAGTTGGGATCTTCTTACTCATGGAAACTCAAGGGAACCAAGTATAGGGCGTATTGCTCCACCCTTGAGATCATTGGAGTTCAATCGGTATGCCTTCACTCACAAAAAGATCTTTTTAAAATATGCAGAATTTTAAATTCTGAAGTCATATTTTATGCACCGTTTCAGTTTGATCCAACTTCCTTACAAGTTTCAGTTTTTTTTAGGTATATGTATTGACTTGTCCTGCCAATGGACTTGCAAACCTTGACCACAAATCGGTTGTGTTGCTTGGCATTCTGCTATTTATAATTCTTGTTTCTGTTTGCATATTCATATTCTTAATAATAAGAGCAGCAAGAAGAGAGATGATTTTATGTGCGCGGATCATAAAACAAGAAGGCGTGACACGTCAGGCAGAGCGCAAAAGTATGAACAAAACTAAAGCCTTTAGTAGAGCAAGCCATGACGTGCGTGCTTCATTAGCAGCCATCACTGGTTTAATAGAGTTGTGTCATCAAGATGCTAATCCTGACTCCGAATTAGCAGCCAACTTGGCCCAGATGGATACTTGTACAAATGACCTCCTAGGCATATTGAATTCCGTTCTTGATATAAGCAAGATTGAAGCCGGAAAAGTGCAACTTGAAATTGAAGAATTCAATCTGGCTCAGCTTCTTGAGGATGTAGTTGACATGTTCTATCCTATTGCTATCAAGAAAGGTGTTGACATCGTGCTCGATCCTTGTGATGATTCAATTGTCAAAACATGTAATGTGAGAGGCGACAGAGGAAAGCTTAAACAGATAATGTGCAACTTACTCAGCAATGCCGTGAAGTTTACATCTGAAGGTCATATCACAGTTCGTGCCATGGTTCCAAAAACTAGTTATGAAAATGAAATCATCGCTTCCAATCATAATCGCGTGCTGAATTGTTTGTCATGGCTCTTTTACAAGAGTACAGAAGACTTCAATGATTTGGATGCTCTTCATACATCTCAGAAAGATCCAAACAACACGAAGTTTGTCATTGAGGTCGATGATACAGGTGAGGGAATTCCTAGAGATAAGCGAGAATTTGTTTTCGAAAACTTTGTGCAAGTTACAGACCGGGCTACTGGAAAAGAAGGATCTGGTTTGGGACTTGGTATTGTTGAATCTTTGGTAAGTAATTTAGAACTAAGTTAGCATACTACTACATTTTCATATGCTAATGCATTACATTTTTCTGATTTAGGTGCGTCTAATGGGCGGAGAAATAAGAATTCTTGATAAAGAGAATGGTGAGAGAGGCACTTGTTTCAGCTTTGATGTTTCTCTTCTAACATGTAAACCCAAGTCTGGTGACATCGAAGAGGAATCCCGTATAATGCATAGTGATCGCTCTGCGAATGCATTTCAACCTTTTGGTATACAACTTTTGGTGCCTTCACCAAAACAAGAGGGGTCTCATGTCGTACTCTTCATAGAAGGCGATGAACGAAGAAAGATTTTGGTGAAGTACATCAGCAGGTTGAACATAAAAGTATCATATGTAAAGTATGCGAAAAATCTTCTTCCACAACTTGAGAAGATAAAGCGTAAGTTGGATATTTCCTACTTTAATTATTCAGAAAAATCCCAACAAGGTTTTCATGACCAATTAAGCACATCTGCATTCAAAAACTCGGATTCAAGAGCAAGTGATGGATCTCAAAGCACCAAGGATGAAGATGTACATACTTGTAGGAAGATCAACTCTAGAAATTCACCTGCGAGCATTGTACTCGTTGTGATTGACACCAACGGAGGTGCTTTCTCTGAGCTGTATACAACTATGGCTAGCTTCAGGAAAGACATTCATAACTCAAGATGCAAGGTTGTCTGGCTCAATAGTTCAATCACGCGTAACACACATCTGCTGCAAATGGAAGGATGCAGCCTAGCTTCTCCAAATGATTACATCATATACAAACCATTTCACGGATCACGCTTGTATAAAGTATTGGGACTATTACCCGAACTTAAGGGATGCAACTTGCCAGAACTAGAAATGAGAAAACAAGATCAAGAAGCGCAACAAATAGATCTCAAGCTCGCAACAAATGAATCAGGAAGGTCGTCGTCATTGCAACAAGTAATCATTCATAAATGTGTGGAGAAAAAAAGTGACCAGGAGCTCTTGCACGGAAGGAAAGTTCTGGTTGTTGACGATGATCGAGTAACAAGAAAGGTAATTGCTAATTCTCTTCAAAGACTCGGAGCAGTCGTTGAAGTTTTAGAGAACGGGAAAGAGGCCTTTGAACAAGTTTTTAGATCTCTAAGCGATCATAGCAAGAAGGGTCATACGAAGTCCACCCTCTACGACTACATTTTCATGGATTGTCAGGTAACATAATAAATTCACACACAATTCAAATTCGGATCATTCTTCGCCGAGGGGATATAAACTCGTATGTTTTATGTTTCTGCAGATGCCAATAATGGATGGATTCGAAGCAACAAGACTGATACGGATGGAGGAAAAACAATACGGCATTCATCTTCGAATTATCGCGTTAACATGTCATGCGACAACTGAGGAGGTTAGCAAGACTCTTGAAGCAGGGATGGATGTCCATTTAACTAAACCATTCAAGATGGACAAGTTCATGCGGGTCATCGAAATCCTTTGAGGACAATTAAAACTAGTTTTTCCATTTCTTGTTTTCGTAGGGTGTTGGGTTTTAGTTTTTTGCTGTGAATAATTTTGTGTTTCTCCGGCAAATAAGTTGATATTGTTGGTTTCCTCCGGTCGAAATCCATCTGTATATAATTATCGATCTAATTTTGAGACGATGAAGGTATATATATTGGGTGAGTTACAACTTTGATATTGGTGGTTTTGAGCAATGACTACAGCCAATGTCTTTTGAGTATTGGCAATCACCATGTGCAGCTAATTCCATCACAAAAGAAAATGGATTTTTTCTGCCAAAATGATCCCGAGATTTGCGTAACTCCCTATTTTAGTTCTTGACAATAAAAACCGAAGTGGTCCTGAATTTGTCCACCGTAAACTATTTTGATAATTTCGTAAAAATCTGTCAATATTCTTGTTAAGTAGAAGGGTTGGTTTGACAAAAATACCCTTAAAAAGATGATCACGTAGTCATTCGCATGACAATTTAATAGAGATATTAATAGATTTTTCACAAAATAACCAAAATGATTTACAATGGACTAATTCAAGGATCACTTCTATCGATTTTTATTGTAGAGATCAAAATGAAGAGTTATGTCTATTTCAGTGTTCATTTTGGCTAGCATTTTGCTGCGACAAGCCTCGCTCCTCAACAAAATGATTGTGTAACAGAACTAAAATTTGGCCGGCAAATCTAATTTGGAAAATCCGATACGCATTTTCTCGGTTCTTTCAAATCATTTTGGAAAAGTGACATGTTTCTCGGCATAGTAATAAAGAAACACGTAAATTTAACTATTTGATCGAACGAGTAAAACACAAGAACCATTTTAGCATTGAAGCGAAAATATAATGCGAAATACTGATCCAAAAGAAGAAATTCAACGACGACTTGTTTAAACTATTCTCATGTGATTATGAAAAACACAATGTCATCGTTTTTGTTCCCATGAGAGATTAAGACATCAGCAACATTCAACACTTAGAAGTATCTACTTCTATAGCTAAAAAATAAGGAGAAAAAAATGGCGCACTCGCCGAAGCTTCTCTCGATGCTTCACTTCCTACAGTTCATCCTGAAAATACAAAGCACAAGTCGCAAAGATCAGTGAATAGATTACTAGTATTAGTTGAGTAACCGCAAAAGGAAAGAAGCCTACATGTTTCTCAGACTCCTCGGCACTCTCTTCAATTGAGTCCGCTTTAGATTCTGCATCAGAGTCATCTTCAGCATCATCTATGTCGGCATCATCCTCTTCCTCAGCCTGAAAAAACACGGCAAAGCTGTTAGGGACCGCAGAAAAAGATGACACAGCTGATAAATTCTCAGGTGTCAGTTTCGTATGCTTACATCAGAGTCAACTGGATCTTTCGCTTCCTGGTAAAAGGATTAAGGTAACAAGTTAATAAGCATGAATAAAAACACGATTACTGATAGTGAAAATAATTTTGGACTACTCAAATAAACATTAGAGGAAAAAGAGTAGTACCTCCTCCTGCTTTTTCTCTGCCTCTTCAAATGCTGCCTTCTCGGCCTGAAATTAAACGTAAATCAATCAGACATGTTAAAAGAGCTATGGTAAAAGGTATATTATATCACATATCACATACATCTTTTTGTTTGCCCCATGTTTCCTCCGCCAGTTGCTTTGCATACTCCGGCTCATCAGTGATCAAGATATTGTCAAACAGGGTTCCAGATTTCACCTGGGACATTGAGCATCTTGCTTATCAGACTGTGAGAACTGAGGGAATAAAAATAGCAAACCGGGGGATGGTAACAGACAATTTTACCTGCCACAATTCAATTCCAACATACTTCAAGTTGGGGTAAACATACAGCTCAGGGTCATCCTTGAACTCTGGGTTGTCAATCAGTGGTGCCTTCCACTTTCCCTTGAAGTTGGGGTTCTTGATTTTCTGCACAGTTGCAGAGAAAAAGTGAGAGAGCGTTTAAAAGTTGTAACTCAAGCTATTATTCAAACCAGAATTCCACAAACCTTTGGCTTCCATTCACCCTTGTATTCAGGGTTGGGAATGGTTGGGGCAGTCCATTCACCATCTTCCTCATCATCCCAATCTTCCGGCTGAAACACCAAGTCACTTTAGTGATCAACAAAACTCTTCCAAGTATGTGTAATATTTTGGAAACCCAAGTTCAATCATTACCTTCTTGGCATCGGGATCAGTTATCTCCTTGGGAATATCATCATAACCCTACAAACAAACAATGAGAGTCAGTATGCTTGTACATTCAGCACATAAAAAGAATAAGCACAAATGATTAGAATATAAAAGGCGACTACCTCTGGCTTAGTATCTTCAGGGTCAGGAATGTATTCTTTGTCTTCCCAATCTTCAGGCTGCCGATATCAGATAGTTATTAGTCAACACATCAGTTATGAACTTATGATTAGTTTGTTGAAATCTCAAGAATTCAATTATAGATACATACTTTCTTGGCCTCAGGATCCTTGATTTTCTTTGGTGGCAGAAGATCCCAATCACTGTATAGGCTACCAGTTTGTTTCTCTACATTGTCGATAAGGATGCTGTAGGTAGCATCTGGGCGGAGGATAAAAGTATAAACATGAGTGAGTTGGTCAGTCTCACAGGGGACGTCCTTCTTGATCAATTTATTTGTGTCATTGTAGTTAAGGATTGCGTGAACTTTCTTGGTGCTGTATCCACAGATATCTGGCCCAAACATGATACTGCAAACCATAAAAGTTTAAATACCAAGTCAGAAACTATTGAGGTAAAGAGATTGATGCAATGAAAACAAAATAGTCAGACCAAAAGGGGATATCACTTGCCTGTATGGGGTATCACCACCGAATTTCTTCTGATCAACATCACCACTGAGTAACTTGATATAGCCACCACCACAGTCAAGCTTCTGCTCATGTTTCACGGAAAATTGGAATACTAGTGTCTTGTCCTTGTTGCTGAATTCAGGGAACTCAGCTGAAATGGCATAAAACCTGTGGTCCTCACTTGTTTGGATACCTGTACCAAAATGTCAGAATCATAAAAAAAAAAAAAAAAGTCATCAGGACGATCTTCAAAGTATTAAAAATCAAGCAAGGAACACAGTGAAAAATCTGCAGATAACATAAAAACATAGAGACAGAATTGGTTATGAAGAGATACCCTTGTCATTAGCATCTCCATTCCATTTTCCAGAGGTGAAGTTCCATTCTCCGGCAAGGCCCTCATCTCTCTTCCAGTCAGATTTCACCCAACGTTTGTCCCATCCGTCTTTTAGTATTTGCCAAATAATAAAAGAAACAAGAGAAAAAGAATTAGCATAACAGAATAAGAAAAAGAATTAGCATATCACTGGAAACAGTGAAAAGTAAGGAAACAAATAAGAAGACGGGTTAAAGACCCTTTTCAATACTTGTTGAATAAGAAAACATCACTGGAAACTGTGACAAATATCACAGTACAGTATCAGGCAAAAATCTATGCCTTTTCGAGGTCCTACTAATCACACCCTGGCAAGAATGCAACATTACTAGGTGATTGACAAGTTCAACAGCTGAAAGAAGCGCCCCCTCGAGGCCATTGAGGGCTAGAGCAACACTAGAATTTCAATTTTAACGGAACGTATAGGATTTATATTAAATCCGCACCCAATTCATATAGGGTAGCTTAACCACCTTGTGAGACTAGAAACCTTCGATTTATTGATTTTCTCCATCCAATCCCCATTTTAATTGATTCTAACAAAACCCTAAACCCTACTTTGTTATTTACAAACACTTCACTTATCACATTTACCACCCACACCCACAACCAAACATTTCGATTCGAAAACATAACCAAAACCATAAATCAAGCTGAAAACTCAAAATTCAATCAGATTTCTAATAGATCCAATTGAGAACAGTAAATTCATCTCACACTAATGGTCTTCAGATAAAAATTAAACAAAAAAACAATCAGATCGAGTCGCAGACTCATAACCAACACCGATCCTCCAGAAATGACATCGGATTCAATTCAATTACCGCACACAAAACCTCTAAAACCCTAATCAATTGAAAATGCAACCAAACACCGACGATATCAAATAATCCATACACCTACAGATACACAAGGGAGAAACAGAGAGAGATGTGTATAACCTTCGAAGCGTTCTTCGAAGAAAACCTTGGCGGAGGCGATGGCGAGGAGAGAGAGAAGGACCAGGGACAGCAAGCTCGAGTTGTTTCGAACCCTAAACGCCATCGTTTTCGCCACTGAGAAAGTCTGCAGCTACGGACACTGATGGGAGAGCTCGATCCCGGCGTGCTCTTATATAAATTGGTTTTTGACTGCAGCGGTTAAACAATGGGTAGTAGCTTTGAGGTAAGAGTCAGAGCTGGAAGATGCGACCAATGGAAGGTCGCCACGTTGTCTCGGCTTGTCATTGCTATGAGGTGGCGGGATCCGATTGGGCCCTCACTGAAGTTTTGCGCTGTAGCAATTGAGTGCGCCACGTAGGTTGGAGGAGGAAGGTGTGAGTTTACGGAAATACCCCTCTATTTGGTTTTTTTGTTTTGTTTTTAAAACACAATTAATGGCATTATCCTTGAATTTAATTTAAAGGGATTTGGTCATCTAGAAGAGATTTTTTAGTGTAACCATCACACGACGTAGTACATCACGTGTTTTTATAGAAATGGTGGGTTATGTGTATTAAAAGGTTAATAACTTAAAAATTAAAAAATTTCACCACTTACATAAAAACAAGTGGTATATCATCCGTGTTCCCGTCACAACTAAAAATTTCTCATCCTCTAGAAACATCTAATACTTAATAGGAGGAGATTAGGATTTAGGATTAGGTTCAACAAATCACTAATTCTGATTAAGTTCTTGGGATTTCATATTTAACTCTCTCTAAGTAAACTAAACCCTTTTTGGTTTGAAGGACAATACCTTGGACTGTTCAGTTTTAGTAATTTTGAAGGACAATATCAAAGTCTTACATTTCCACACTGAAATATTCAAGCCTGCATCATACATCAGAATGGAGTGCATTGGATTTGTATTTGGATGTAACATTTCTCCTAGTTATTGTGTTAGATTATGAATTAATGACGTTGGGCTCGTTTGTAATTACCTTTAAAATGGATGGAACAATGAAAATATTTTTGAAATCAATATTTAGTAATGTGAATCCTAAAAAAACACTTAAAG